CCTGCTGCTGCTTGCTCCGGGTGAGGGCGTGGCGGATGGTGGCACGATGGTCGCCAGGGTGGAACGGAGCCTTGCCTTGGACGGACTTGGAGACCACCTTGGTGCTCGCGCGGGAAGCGGGGTAGGCGGCTGCGGCACGGTCGAGAGGGTCACGTATGCCGGTGCCGCCATGCCGGGCAGGCAGCAGCATCAGGTCGACCTCGGACGGCGTCACAGGGCCGCCGAGGAGGGCCGGCAGCAGCTCCTTGGCGATGGCCTCGCGGAGGGGGCTGAGAGCGCACTCGTCGGTGAGCACGACACGAAAGACGTAGTCCCACTCCATCTGCAGAGACCTCGTCATTGCCGCGTGGGCCGTGTGTGGGAAGTTGCGGGCAGCAGACGTGAGCGCGCGCACGCCGCGCACCCACCCCTCGACCTTCTCGCAGAGGAACGCCGCCCTTCCCCCCTCATCGCCCACGTAGCCGCCCAGGAACCTCTTGCCCGTGACGATCTGCACCCCCTCGGGCTCGAAGAGTTCCCTTGCGATCTGCTCGAGCTCGGGTTTGACGACGAGGAAGGACTTGGCGGTCTCTGGGTGATAGCCGTATGAGGGACCGATGCGACGCAGGGCTCGAAACCACACGAGGATGCCGTGAAGTTTGCCGAGCGCCGACGAGTCATCCGCATACCAGCACTGCCGCAGCGAAGCGCTAGATGAAGAGGCCGACGGGGCTGACGAGGCCGACAAACTCTCCTCCTCACCAACTCCAACACCTTCTACATCAGAACACACACATACACCCGCACCATCCCCCTCTGCTTCTGGTGGCGTGTCACTGGCTTCTTCTGGCCTCTCTTGCGCTTCTGATGGCGCGTTTTCGTTCTCGTCCATGTCTGACCCAGACCCATCGCTGCCTGACTCATCCCATGCCCCACTCGACGGCATCTCATATCCCTCCTCAGCGCAGGCAGCCCGCAGGGCATGGATGAGGGGAAGGCTGCCGCAGGCGTAGACGAACATCGCCATCGAATCGCCCTGTGTGACGCCTTCACGATCACGATAGTGCCGAAACCGAAGAAATTGCCTCGTGGATGAGCTCCTTCCCAAGATCCGCTGCGCCTTTGCAAGCGATGGATCTGCTCCCCGCGCCGGTGGCAGATGTTTCCACAGCCAGTGCTCTCGTCCGCGCGTCCGCCTCCGCCCTGCTGGACGATGCGGCGCACAATGTCGGCAAATGTCTGTTCCCAGGCTTGGAGCAGAGTGCCGATGTGATTGGACTCATCAAGACTATTCTCATGGCCATCGTCATCTCGCTGGTCGTGACTGCCTGCTGCGGTATTGCCGCCATCTGGTGTTTGGTCAAGCGCATGAAGACCGGCGAGAGGAGAATCGCTGCACTGGCTGCTGACGTGCAGACGGTCACCGCCAAGCAGCAGGGAGCCGAGACGAACGTGCAGCGACTCACGGCAGATCTGCAGGGAGTGGCTGCGCGTCAGGAGAACCTCACTGCCGACCAGCAGAGAGTTGGTGCGGACGTGACCAACTTGGCCGCTGATGTGCAGAGCGCCGTCGACCGTCAGGAGGCCATGACCGCCGACATCCAGGGCCTCCGCGCGACCGTGGACGACTTGGCCTCCGACGTCCAGAACAACCACGAGGCCATCAATGCCGACGTTCAGGGACTGAGCCACAACGTGATCAATTTGGCCACCGACATCCAGGGACTCGTTGGCAACCAGCAAGCCATCACCGCCGACATCGAGGGACTCAAAGCGGACCAGCAGCGAATGGGAGCCGACGTGCAGCAGCTTGCAGCTGACGTGCAGAAACTCGGCCCCGATGTCCAGAGGGTGGCTGCCGACATACAGGGACTTACCGCGAGTGTGGCCAATCTGGCCGCTGACGTGGACGGACTCATGACCAATCAGCAGGCCATGACCGCCGACATGCAGGGCCTCCGCGCAACCGTGGACGACTTGGCCGTTGACCTCCAGAACAACACGGTGGCCATCAATGCCGACGTTCAGAGACTGAGCGAGAACGTGACCAATTTGGCGACTGACGTGCAGGGCATCGTGGGCAACCAGCAAGCCATTACCGCCGACATCGAAGGACTCCGCGCGACCGTGGACAACTTGGCCGCTGATGTGCAGGCCGTCGTCGGCAATCAGCAAGACATGACCAGCCACATTCAGGAACTTGCCGCGAGCCAGAAGACAACTCGGCTCGTGGTGACGGCGGTGACGGCTGGAGGACTGGCAGTGATCTACGGGGAGCGGCGCTTGTGGGGCATGGTGAGGGGTTTGGACGGGAAGATAGAGGCGAGGGTGATTGGGAAAATAGGGGCGAGGGTGATTGGGAGGATAGAGGCGATGGAAGCTCTCTTGGGAGAGAAAGTGGAGAGCAGCTTCAAGGAGCTAGAGGGGAAGATAAAGAAGATGAATGGGGCTGTGGGGAAGGTGACGAAGGGGGCGGCTGGCCAGGCGGTGGTGCCACTTTGACGGGATTTGCGGGGGTGGTTGGTGTGCTCCTCCGGGCGGGCAGTTTCTTTCAGGGTGTTCGGGAGGAGCGTTTGCGATTTTCTATACTGTGTGATTTTTCTACTGTCTGACCCGATGTTGATCAGCAGTATGGCTGTGCAATGCACGTGGGCCTCTGATGAGGCTGCATATCTACATGCAGACGCCGACGATTTTTAAACACATGTATTGAATGAAGGAATGCACGCAGACAGACACCGACGAGTCTGCCTGTCCATCTCATCTCCTGCAGACAGACGCATGGCATGCAGGTCAGTGGCACGCACAAGCAGGCCATCCATCCATCCATCAGTCAATCAAGTGATATGAGCACACAGACCGCACACACATGAGCTTCGTTATCACAGTAGTGGTCGTCGTATCATCAGACAGAGACAGATAGACAGCCAGGCGCACACACATGGGCTGAAAAAACGAAGGACGGCCCTCTCTGTTCCGCTTGTTGGGGTGCGCGTGCTGCCTGAAAGGGGCCATCGGTCAGTCAGACGGCCACATATCCCCCACACACAGACACACGAGGGACCAGAAAACGGCCGTCGCCAGCTGCTGCCGGTGTCGGCTGTCTGTGTGAGACAGTGTGAGCAAGCAGCCAATGGTCGCCCACTGCACTGCCTGAATGTATGTGGGGGTGTGTCTGTGTGTGGTGTGGTGGTGCTGTATTTGTTACAAATAGACTACAGATAGAGAAAGAAGGGAAGAGACAAGCACGGATCGGATGGACAGGCAGACAAGGGAAGCAGGCAGGCAGGCAGGCAGGAAGGCAAAAGGGCGTTCAGGCAGAGAATCGCGCTATTAAAACAGAGCGAGCGAGGTTGTTCGGTGGAGTGAGAGAGAGCCCTCCAATCGGTGTGCCGTCGGCTGTCTGTCCTTCTGCCCATCCTCGCCGCCCGCCCATCCCCCAGCCCCCCGCACCCCCACCCAGGTCGACCACTACACACGCACTCGTATGGAAACACAGAGATAGAGGAGACATAGAGCAACAGGGATACGTTTCTTATCAACAGGCGGCCACTCACACACGAGAGTGGCCGTCACACAACACTCAAACCGCCCACCCACCCATCCCCTCACCCACAATACAATAATACTCCTGATGCTGCGCTTTGCTGCTTTCTGTTCCCTGCAGGTCTTTTTTTTGTTTTCTTCCTTGTTTTGTGTTGTTTGCTAAGGGGTGAGCAGTCGGGCAGGTCTCGTAGGCAGGCCCGCCATGCTCTATCGACAGCCGATGAACGAACCAATGAATGGAAGAAGCGGGGCAAAACACCAGACAGACAGACAGGCAGGCAGACAGACAGATATATGGAGAGAGGGGCCTAGGCAGACAGGGGGTATGAGGTTGGCAGCCAGGCAGACATGAAGACACAGGCATACACAGACAGACAGACAGACAGTCAGACAGACACACACAGACATATAGACACATGGATTGGATATATACGGGATGGTTCTTATGAATGAGGAATGGTATGTATGTAGAGCACCACCACGAGCAACGCATTGCCATCGACAGCGTCCCCCTCCCCCCCCCCCCCCCCCCCCCCC